ATTATTGCTTTGGAACCTCAAACATTAACGCTGTCGCTCTCTGCCCACTTTCAAAGCACCTCTAGACATCCATCAGCCTCGATATCAGCTCTGCTTTTATAACCACTTTGTGAGTCCCCAGCAACAGATAACCCAATAAAGGCCCTCGACTTGGATTCATTGTACAGGTGTGTGACTTGGCATTGTTCCCAGTGGGGAGAAGTTTAGAAAATCCTCACATTGATCATTAGTAGCAGTGAAAACTAATCCTGGTTTCTGTGTTTATAAGACAAAGCAGGGTATCACCGTGTGTTGTTGGCTGAAATGATAACTGTGTGAGTAGCCTGCACAGAACTTCAAAATGAGACTACACCATAGTTTCCTTTTGGTATTTCTCTATTAAAGCAATTGATGTGATCATTATAAAACGAATTAGTTGTCATGGCTTTAAATTCTATGTTGCCTCCATGGTGTCTATTTTTCACACAGATTCTTCCGTCCTCTAGCAGTTTATTCTTTGGACTCACGTCAGACTTGATAAGGCTTCCACCCAAATGTGCAAGATTATCTTTGCAACGTAGCAAGCTTTATTTTATGAATGTGTCACTGGAAATAAAATGAGTCCAGCTTGAAGCAAAGTCACTCTTCAAATAGCAATATGCTGGCTTAGCAGCCGCTGAACTCTTCTGTCGAAATGGCAGAATTGTATTGTTTTTTTCCCCTCCACCACAAATGTAAGGAAGCTTATAGGTTCATGCTCTGGATATTAACAGAGGGATTAGCCAATCCCATTGGCTTCTGGGATGCTCAAATCCGTGAAGCACAGGGCCACAATCTCCCCATTGTTGAGATATCTACTTTATGTAACACAATTAACTATTTATTTCAAATGCACTGAGGTCTTGTGGAGGCGAGATGGAAGCAGATTTCAGTGGCAGTCATTCAGCAGCGTGTGTGTTGCGTCTGACCTGCTGTGGCTGAGCACACAGTCCCATGGGAGACAGCGGTTAGCCTCTTCTGATGTGGACCAAAACACATTTACTGATAAGAGGCTGCTGACACTGTAAGATGCTGTTCAGATAAACTGTGAAATTGGACACATTAGCTGTAAGAGCTAGCAAGCCTTGCTGTTTCCAATTACCACTGTTCAAAAATGAAAAAAGGACAACATTTGACATTTATTTTCAACAACAAAATAGACATCAGAAGAAGATTTCTATTTGGTACATCAAGAGGTGAAACTTATCTAAGTACTGAACAATCTTCCTGTATTTCATAAAGAAATGTTACACATTCTTGTGTTTTCTTTGAGAGCTCTATTTCTGCTCACAAAAATGTTCAAAAAGAGGTAACCACAAAGCGATATTTAATTGAAAATACTAGGGAAATGTTTACTCAGAATCTTTCTTCCCCACTTGCCCCTGCTAACATCTCAGTAAATGAGCTAGTAGATCATTTTAATTCAAACATGTAAAAATGTTATAGATGCCATTGCTCCAACTAAGGTAAAGGAAGTGATTGGCAAGAAAATATCTCCATGGAGAAAGGCCATGACCGTGAAAACAGAAAAAAGAGTGTCGAAAAGCTGAAAGTAGGTGGAGAAAAACAAATCTCCAGGTTCATTTTGAAATCTATAAAGATAGACTTGGCCTTTATAATTTGGAATTGAAAAACGCACAACAGTCTTTCTTCTCTGACATCATTACCAAAAACAAAAACAACGCACGTGCCTTGTTTGCTACCGTCTACAGACTAACTAACCGGCCCCCAGTGTCAGTAGCCTCTGAATTTCTATCCACCAGGGCGTGCAATGACTTTGCCTCCTTCTTCACTGACAAAATTCTGAAAATCAGACAAGCAGTTATTTCCTCTGCATCAGGTACAGCAAATGTGTAGTCCCTATGTCCACCTAATATCAATTCAAACACCATGACACAATTCCATCAGATTAATGATAAAAACCTAGAGGACATTATTCAACTTCTGAAATCCTCCTCCTGCTGCCTTGATATTATTCCAACAGGATTTTTCAAAGATGTTTTTCATTGCATGGCCTCAGATCTACTTCATATAGTAAACAAATCTCTTCACTCAGGTGTTTTTCCACAGGCCCTGAAAACTGCAGTCATTAAACCACTCTTAAAAAAGAATAATCTAGATGCTTCAGTAATGAACAATTACAGGCCCAACCTGCCACTGTGCNAGTAAAGGGGTTCTTCTGGGACGATGGCCCTGAAGCCCACCACGATGAAGAGCCCTCACAACTTTGTTCCTTGAAACATGAACTCCAGAAGAGGCCAGGTCAGCAACAATCATCTTGGAAGATGTCCGGGGATTCTTGCTGACATCTCTGACTATTTTCCTCTCCTGATTTCTTGAAATATTGCGCTTTCGACCACGCCCAGGTTTGTTTCTTACAGAATTTGTCTCCTTGTACTCTGCAATGATGCAACGTACAGCAGTTATAGACACTGTGAAGTGCTTGGAAATAGCAGTATAGCCTTCCCCTTATCATGAGCCTCCACTATCTTCTTTCTGAGCTCAAGACTGATTTCCTTTGTCGCATGGTGAGTAGGAGTTAGGGCTGTCCCGAATACCATTTTTCGGGCTCCGGATATTCGGTAGTAATCAGCAGCCTGCTGATTACTACCGAATATCCGGAGCCCGAAAAATGGTATTCGGGACAGCCCTAACTCCTACTCACCATGCGACAAAGGAAATCAGTCTTGAGCTCANGCTGCAATGATCCGTTTGGTATTTCAGCCAAACACTTCAGAGACATGTTTTGTATATATATCTGAGACCTATAATATATTGATGAAAAACAGTATAACAGGGGACCTTTAAGGGTTGTGTTACTGTATGAAGCCTAGGCCACTCAGCTGCCTTACCTCAATAAGACGGTAAACAAAAACAAGTGATTACTTTAGTATTTCTCTTTAATATCAATCATATATGTTTAGCTCAAAGAAAAAACACAGGTTATTTATTTTTACACAAAATGCATACATGATTTGTCTTTTTTCATGGTATAACAACAAATTATTATCTATCAAATTGGTTGCAATCTAAGATATGAATCACCAACCAAATAGACTTAGATTGATTTGGTGATATTGTTGCTTTTCCTCTCAAACTTATATGTATTTTGTTTTCTCTTCCGCTCTGCAGACTTCCCACTCCTGTCTGGTGTTTCAGTCAGTTCTGTGGCCAGAGTACTCGTTCTGGAACCTGTGTGAAGCCATTCTCCAATATCAATTAAACCACACATCCATTCAGGTAAGGCTTATACTGAGACACAGTTTACACTACAGGAATATAGGTGGAATATTAAGAACATCACAGAATACAGTGACCTATCAGCAAATAAGCTTTAGAGTGTTTTTTTAAAGAATCAACTCTAACCCCCGTCCTTTTTGAGACTACAGTTTTATAAAGCAAATATGATGATACAGTCGAGGCCTAAATTATTAGCCCCCCAGGAGTTATGGAACATTTTCCTAAAATTATTCCTAATGTTTCCAGCATTGATAAAACTTGATATAATCAAACATTCACCAGTGCTATTGAGTAGCTTTTGGTACATTTTGGAAAATAAAATAAGTTGCTATATATCAAATATAGTGAAAAATGGGTTGGTCAAAAAATATTAGCCCCCATGTGAATTGTTGCTTTCAAAACACACCTAATCAATCAATCAGCTTTCAAACCACACCTAATCAACCAATCAGTTTTCAAACCACACCTCATCAACCAATCAGCTTTCAAGCCACACCTGAGCATTCAATCAGCTTTCAAGCCACACCTGAGCATTCAATCAGCTTTCAAGCCACACCTGAACATTCAATCAGCATAAAAGGACTCCAAGAAACAGGCTCTTGAATACCTTATTGAGAGGGACTATACTACTACTCCTACTCACCATGCCAAAGACAAAGGAAATCAGTCTTGAGCTTAGAAAGAAGATAGTGGAGGCTCATGATAAGGGGGAAGGCTATAATGCTATTTCCAAGCACTTCACAGTGTCTATAACTGCTGTACGTTGCATCATTGCAGAGTACAAGGAGACAAATTCTGTAAGAAACAAACCTGGGCGTGGTCGAAAGCNTCTGAAGTGTTTGGCTGAAATACCAAACGGATCATTGCAGCATCCCATAATCCCCCTCGGTTTCAGTCCTGTTTCAAAAGTGCTGATTCTCTGTCTGTTACTTTAGATGAGAACCTTTTTCCTCTCAAGGGCCAATACCATTTTTTCAACATCCTCCGAGGACCGTACAAATGATTGACCTCTGCTTAAAAAAACTAAAATCACAGCCCATTCATTTAGCCTTTCTTTCATGCTGTGCAAAGAAAAAGCAAGGGGGGAGTTACCTTGGTTGCTGATTGGCTAATGGTTACACAAGCCAAACAATCGTTATGACATCATAAAGTGGCCAAAATCTGATTGGCTCATTTTCAGACAGGTTTTTATATAAATGGATCAGGACAAAAAGTGAGCGAATCTTTTTTCTTGAAACTTTCAGAATCTCTTTACACAGAGGGGACACATGTTGATGTATAAAAGACAGGAACAAGCGCATTTTGCATAATAGGTCCCCTTTAAATCTAAAATGCATTACAAATTTAAATAGTTTTGGTAAAAAAGTTATATAATGGCTGCTGCATTAAAGATAAAGGCAGTTACAGACAAGATGTGACTACCTAAATGCTGAAACCACCAAAAGGTTTTCATGATAAAACTAAAAGACTACTTGTAACATGTGTGCTTTGCTGTAAAGGCTCCATCCAACACATATTCTATCTCTCCATTTAATTTTGTTGGCATTGAAGACACATTCTGGTTTTTAGATTTAGAAAAGAAGAAGCCTTGTTTAGATACTTTTTTCAACACATCCTAAAGTACAAGTCTAACAGCCAGTGTTATACTGTAGTAACTGTGCTCTCAACATTTGCCATTCTTCCTAAAAAGGGAACAACTATCATCATCCTTTATTTGTCCATTTAGTCATTCTACTCCTCACCTGCCAGAGAAGGAAGTCGCTGAGTCGCACTTCCCCAGAGGTGCGGATGAGCAGATCAGGATTTGGAGAATTATTGCTGTACAAACACTCACTCAGCAACGCCTCTGACACATCACTGACAGAAGGACACAAACACAGCTGGTTACAGCATCTTTTTATATTCCGTGTCACATTATAGATGTTTGCAGGATGCCAACGAGATCAACTCAGTATTGACTTGGACATGTTTTCTTTACCTTGCTTTGATCTGGCCCTGCTCCACCCCCCAAGCCATTTCTCTGACTGCATTAGTGATTTCATATCTGGACGTGTATGCAAAGCACACATTCAGAAAACATCTGCAAAACAAGCGTTTGTATAACTGTGGTTATTCATAATGTATAATATAAATAGAATAGAATCATTTAATGTCATTATACATGTACAATGAAAGAAAGAAAAGCTTCTCCCTTTTAAAAAGGTGCCATCAAAACAAAAACATCACAACATACGACAACAAATATACGCAGCACACATACTTAGGTAAGAATAAAGAATAAAGTGCAGTCATTATTTCCAGGGGTATACAACAAAAAATGTAATAAATAATAATAGGTATGTATAATAATGATATATATGTATATAAACAGTCACGTTTATTGCACATGGAGGATGATTAAGGGGTATGAGTTCAGTGCAATGATGGCTCTTGGGAAAAAAATGTCTTTGAGTCTTTTTATTTTAAACACCTGTAGCGCCTCCCGGAGGGCAGCAGGTCGAACAGGTGAAAGCCGGGGTGTGAACTGTCCGTGACAATGTTTTCGGCTTTACTGAGGCAGCGGGCGGTGTACATGTCCATCAGGGAGGGGAGAGGGCAGCCGAAATCTGTTTATGTCATAATGCCTAGTGTGGTGGTTAGGTTGAGCCACTAATTGTCAGGGCAATTGAAGCAGAGGTGCAAATGGATAAAACACATACTTGTTGTGCGTCTTGGTTGAGACCACAGCTTTGGCAATAAGCTGCTGAAGGTCGAGAGGCAGCATATTCAAGTCGCCCAGCACCCGGATACACACGCCATGTTTCTCCAGATTCTCCCTACAAGAGACAAGAGGTATGTTATGGTAGTAGAAAAAGCAAGGAAAGCATGAAGAAGAACAGGGATAAACAAGAAGACTACTCCATTAAGGCAAGACTGATAAGTCTCTCTGCTAGGGATTGGTACCGAGCCCCGGTATTAAAGTGGCCCCGGGGCTGAATTATTAAAGACCGTGGTACCGTTAAGCTCCGACGTTATCGGTCTTTTTATCGGTACTGGAGACATTTAAAAACATTTATGTCATGTGTATTATTGCTACATAAACATTATATTGCAGTCTTATGCTGCGTTCACACCAGACGCGATGCGATGTTTGGGGGCGGCGCGATTACATGTAAAGTCAATGCAGAGACACGGACAGACGCAAATTCCCTCCGACGGCGAGCATGAAGCGGTGGACGCGGCGCGAATCACGCGATTGAAGGGGACCGCGTCAAACGCGAGAGTTACATTTTTTCAACTCGAGCGTCAAATTCACGTGACGCGTTCTCGCGAAAGCCAATCAGCGTTTGGATTCCCTCTGACGTCCTGCTGTTGATCAGTTGTAAAGATGGAAGAGATGATCGTTGTGGCTGTGAGTGGGTTCCAGGAGATATACGATAAACTTCCACAGAAGGTACAAAGCAGCAATAGTTGTTCCTCCATAGTCAAGGACAGAAATAACCAAAACGATCTTGCATGGAAGTGTAAAAAACCTCAACTGTCCGTCAACGGCGCGGCAACGGTATGTCTGTTGTGAATGACGCGATAAAACAAACTGCAAGCCGCAGTGAAACTTGAGTGATTGGAGCGATGCGAATATTCGCATTGCGTCCGGTGTGAACGCAGCATTAGTGTCGTCAACTCCGTTTCTAATATGCAAAAAGACAATGCTTGTTGCCAAAAGTGCAATAAGAGTTTAGCATGTAAGGGCGGTAACACAAGCAATTAAAGTTTCAGCTATTCTGTTAACAGTTCTGTCATCAGATTATTTAATACGATTTGTTAAAGAGCAACTTGCAGGTTTTTTTTTTTACTACATTTATGCTTAACCTTGCCTGAAAATTACAATTAAAAAAGTTAATGCAGGATTTTATATATTTTACAAGACATAAGGGCAGGAATTCAGAATAAAAGGAGCCGTTTTGAGCTCAGCTACTAAAAACTGCTTTTTTTTTACGTCATACGTCAAACGCGTCATATTACGTCACATGGGGGAGCAACTTTCTCGGACTCGTTCTCTGCCCAATCCACGGTAGTAGTTCGTAGTTGGTTTGAGCGGTTGTGATTTAGTGAGCTGGTATGTTTTCGGTAATTTTACATTGCATTTCACCATTTGTAATCATGGTGAGCTTGTGTTTGTGCAGGTTGCACAAACTCGGAGCCTGTCAGGACATCGAGTCCACAGTTTCCCTCACGGGAAAAGGACCGGAGCTATTCGTTCCTGGGTGCGTTGTGCATCCACCTCCCTGCAGCACATACTCTCCACGGCTTTATCAAGAAACCGTATTACATCTCTCTCTCCCCCCTTCGCTGCTCTCTCTCTCCCCCCTTCGCTGTTCTCTCTCCCCTCCGGTACACGGCACCGTAAGACGTAGTGTGTGGAGTTGCATTAGGTAACGCTGTGGTGACTGTACTGCTCCAGCCGTCTCGTTTGTGTTTGTTTCCCCCTGTCTGTGTTGTTTGTGTGTGCGTGGTGGCTGTCACTCCTGGCTCCC